AATGTGCTAGCAGCATAGTATAACACTATCATATGCTTAAGACACAATAACACGCCGAATAAATACTAGTTCAGAAATCAAACAACAAAAATCAGCGTTATATTTACAAAGTTTTCACAGGACTAGTTTCGATGGTTTTACCGAACCACCATCTTCAGCTGCAAAACCGCAAATGAACAAGATAGGAAATAATGATTAGATAAGATAAGAAAGCCTGGACAAGAATAAGCAAGTGGCGCCATCTGTTGGTAAAACCAGAACTAAAACACAATTTCTTTAAAGGCCGAAGGCAAATTTGGATTGGAATTAGGATCGTTAACTAGAACAGAAAGATTTTTATGAATGTGAAATGCCTCTAGAAAATCCAGTTCTCCAATGGAAGATGTTTTTTGAATAATTTTTGGCAGCAGAAAAACTGAAAGTGTGGTTTTCGGACCAACAATGTTTGAGCAACAGAAGACTTCTGTGTTTCCTTTTTTCTAACATATGCCTCATGTTCCTTGACGCGAAATTTTAAGGCTCTCTTAGTTTGGCCAATGTAAATTAAACCACACTGGCAAGGAATCCTATAAATACCCCAGGAATTCATATCCGGAATGGGGTCCTTGAGTATGGAACTCGGAATTTTATTGATGGGAGAATAAACAACCCGAAAGTTAAATTTCTGCAAAATATGTGCAACTTTATAGCTAATTGATGGAAAGAAGGGAATGACAACAGAATTTTTATAATCTCCTAAAACAAGATTGTGCCTTTTAGTGTGTTGAGATGAGAATTTTTTAACTGCTTGATTAATAATGTTGGGTGGAAAGCCCCTGTCCATAGCTATTGCTTTTAAATACCTTAGTTCTTCATCAAGGGCTAGTTTGGAGGAGCAAACTTGAAGAGCACGGAAAACATAAGAATAAAATGAAGCTAACTTTTGTTTAGTCGGATGACATGATTTAAAGTGTGGTGGAAGGCAAACCGATGAAGGTTTACGGTAAACCGTAGTACTGAAGTTGGATGTGTTACGTGTGACCAGAATGTCGAGAAACGGATCAGAATTGCAGGATCAATAGAATTCATTGTTGAAAGAACTTTATTTAAATCATCTTTATTACCTTCAAACAGAGTAAAAGTATCGTCTACGTAGCGGAACCATGCCGGGAAGTTTAAAGTTTCAAACAATTTTGATTCATAATAATGCATGTAGATATCAGCCAGGATGGGACTGAGGGGGCTTCCCATGGCTAATCCCTCAGTTTGCTTGTAATATTTATTTTGGAAAACAAAATGTGTTTGTTTCAAACAGAGTTGAGTGAGAGAAATTAGCTCATCAATTTCGATGCAAGAATTTATTCTAGTATTTATGCTAGTATTTATTCGGCGTGTTATTGTGTCTTAATTATAGAAGCCCCAAACAGGCTTACTTTTTGCTTTCTTTTTTGCACGTGGTGTGGCCGCCATTTTGTGATTGCATGAGTTTCGGTAAGTACTTTTTTGCAATTTTCAAGTTATGTTTATATTTTGTATATTTGGATATTGTGCTTTGCTTGTCTGATTTCATGCATTTTGCTTACAAACGTTTTGTTTTCTATTAATTTCAGTGAGGGATTTTCTGGTGTTTTGGTGTGTGCTTTTAATTTGTTTAGTTAATTTAGTTTGATTTTCTGTATTGTTTATCATGCCTTCATCCGTTAATTTCATTTCACTAAATTACGCCTGAAACGGCAAAAATTCCTGAATCATCTTGACTTTTTACTTAAATGTAAATGTAGAAAATTGATCCCCAATTTTATTCAAATCAAATCTAATCAAAAACCTTCGAGTCGCGTTTCAAGAATTCTGTTAAATTGCAAGCTTGCCTTACTTCGGTCCGTCATAAGGGATATACGTCAACAATTGTCCAAAATTGAACATGAACTCTATAAGCTTCATCTGGAACTCGCTAAATCATATCCAAAATTCACTGCCCTTGAACAAAAGTCTTGGTCTAGAAAGGAGAATGCAGTTAACCGTCATAAAACACACCTTGCAGTTAAATTCGAAAAACTTCTTTTACAATCTTCCAGTTCAGTAGTTTAAAAAATCTTCCCATTGTAAACATCAAGCCAATAGTTAATATTTCTAATGTTAGTCTTTCAGAAGAACAAGAGAGAATTCTAAAATATAATTTTAACTTCTCACAAACCTGTAAACCCTCGATTCCAAAGATTTTAGCTCCTATCGAAAAAGCTTTCAAGTTCAGTAAAAGTTTCAGATTCACAGAAAGAAATGATTAGGCATCTTATCGCTCATAATGTGAAATTCAATAATAAACCTTTGAAACCAAATCTAACTGCGAGAGAAGAGCTACATTACGTGAAATTCATTCTAACCCCGGATATTATTATTTCAAAGGCCGACAAAGGTGGCCAGATAGTCATCATGGATAGGAACACTTACATCGATGGTGGTCACTAAACTCTTAAACGAAGGACCATATAATCCGATCCCTAAAGATCCTTCGCCTTCGGATTTGTCAAAAATAAAAAACTGCGATCAAATCTTCGCAAATCATTTCAGCCAACTTAAAACATTCACTTATCCCATCTGTTGCGAATTGTGCCAGATTATATGCTCTTCCCAAAATTCATAAAAGTGGTATTCCTTTCCGCCCTATTGTATCAAATTTAGGTACTCTGCCTCGTATCCATTAGCTAAATATTTAGTTTTCTAGATTTCAACTCTATTAGACAATAACATTTTACTTCATAAAAAATTCAATAGAGTTTGTAAAAAAAGTTAAAAAAACATTCTCTCCTGGTAATTTACTCATGGTTTCTTTTGATGTAAAATCATTATTCACCAATGTCCCAGTGGAGGGTGCATTAAGATGTCTAGAAACCAGACTTCGCGAATTTCATTTCTCTTGCATCGAAATTGATGAGCTAATTTCTCTCACTCAACTCTGTTTGAAACAAACACATTTTGTTTTCCAAAATAAATATTACAAGCAAACTGAGGGATTAGCCATGGGAAGCCCTCTCAGTCCCATCCTGGCTGATATCTACATGCATTATTATGAATCAAAATTGTTTGAAACTTTAAACTTCCCGGCATGGTTCCGCTACGTAGACGATACTTTTACTCTGTTTGAAGGTAATAAAGATGATTTAAATAAAGTTCTTTCAACAATGAATTCTATTGATCCTGCAATTCTCTTCCGTTTCTCGACATTCTGGTCACACATAACACATCCAACTTCAGTACTACGGTTTACCCTAAACCTTCATCGGTTTGCCTTCCACCACACTTTAAATCATGTCATCCGACTAAACAAAAGTTAGCTTCATTTTATTCCTATGTTTTCCGTGCTCTTCAAGTTTGCTCCTCCAAACTAGCCCTTGATGAAGAACTAAATTATTTAAAAGCAATAGCTATTGACAGGGGCTTTCCACCCAACATTATTAATCAAGCAGTTAAAAAATTCTCATCTCAACAACACTAAAAGGCACAATCTTTTTTAGGAGATTATAAAATTCTGTTGTCATTCCCTTCTTTCCATCAATTAGCTATAAAGTTGCACATATTTTGCAGAAATTTAACTTTCGGGGTTGTTTATTATTCTCCCATCAATAAAATTCCCCCGATTTCCATACTCAAGGACCCCATTCCGGATATGAATTCCTGGGGTATTTATAGGATTCCTTCCTTGCCAGTGTGGTTTAATTTACATTGGCCCAAACTAAGAGAGCCTTAAAATTTCGCGTCAAGGAACATGAGGCATATGTTAGAAAAAAGGAAAACACAGAAGTCTTCTGTTGCTCAACATGTTTGGTCCGAAAACCACACTTTCAGTTTTTCTGCTGCCAAAATTATTCAAAAAAACATCTTCCATTGGAGAACTGGATTTTCTAGAGGCATTTCACATTCATAAAAATCTTTCTGTTCTAGTTAACGATCCTAATTCCAATCCAAATTTGCCTTCGGCCTTTAAAGAAATTGTGTTTTAGTTCTGGTTTTACTAACAGATGGCGCCACTTGCTTATTCTTGTCCAGGCTTTCTTATCTTATCTAATCATTATTTCCTATCTTGTTCATTTGCGGTTTTGCAGCTGAAGATGGTGGTTCGGTAAAACCATTGAAACTAGTCCTGTGAAAACTTTGTAAATATAACGCTGATTTTTGTTGTTTGATTTCTGAACTACTATCATATGCTGCTTATATTGCTCTGTAAAAATATGGGAATATTAACTCCAAATTAGGGAAATTCATTCTAGTGAATTAAAGATAGAATGTAAGCTAATGGTTTTAACATATCAAATATGTGTTTAGTTGTACTGAAGACTTAAAAAAGTACTAAATTGTGATTAAGATCCTCAAGCCATGAAATTGTTTTTAAGATTAGCTATATGTAACAAACGGTTATTATATTAAGGAGCTAAAGATTACTGCTATTTATGACTATGTGATTAAGGTCCTCAGGCCATGGAATTGTTTTTAAGAATAGCTATACATAACCGAACGGCTCTCTATATTAAGGAGCTAAACAGTACTGCTATTTATGACCAACCTCCCACTAGAACATAAGTAGTATACGTCATGATAGGTTTATGCAGATTGTTTGAACAAATTTTGTATTTATAGTAGCAGTAATGTTAAAAATTGGATACAGTGAAGGAAAATGTATTTTTTTCTTGTATGTTCCAGGCATTTAGCATTCCTACTATACGTGCAGTTTCAGTGCATGTCTGATTTTTGTTACACAGGACCTAAAGTGTTTTTGCAGGATGAGAGATATTTTTATTTTCGTGAATTTATTTATTAACTCTGTTTCAAAGTTTTTAAAGTTCTTATTTATTTATTTATTTTCAATTTTGAATATTTTTCCCACCCTTGTCTTGCTTTAAATAAGACAACATATATTTCACTTCCAGACTTTTTGTTTTTAGAAGAGTTATATAAATCTTTAATATGTGTGTTTGTAATGCCTTAATGTGGGAAAATTTATTTATTTCATATGTAAATATTTACAGGTTTCAACCCCCAAAAGTCAATAGAGAAGAATTACGCCAAATAATTACCAATTTCATAGTTCATCAAGATTATGAGAAGGCCTATGATCAGCTCATTTCTGGAGACTGGGCTACTGCATATTTTCATGTCAAATCTAAAAGTCAACAAAAAACTTTTAAAGAACATGTAAGAAATTTTTTTATTTTTCATTTCCTTGATTTTCATACTTGCAGACATTATGCATCCTTCATTTTTGTAACTCTTGGCCGTAGACATAAACTTCCAGTTGGAAAAATGTTTTAAATAAGACAAATGCTAATGATTTTGCATCTTAAAATTTAAAAAATTCAATTTTGTAAAAATTAAAGTCTCCAAGACACGGACCTGCAACTTTGAAAGTACTCCATTATACATAAAGTCTAAAACTTCAATAAGGCCCATGTCATACAAGCATTTGTTTCACACAAACAGCTCTTTCAGACAATTTTCTGCCTAGTTTACTATTGAAAGAAGGATGCACGATATTTTCCTTCTTTTTAAAAAAAATTGCAAAATTGTTTTCAACCAATCGGCTGTCAGCTTGGAATGCTATCAGCTTCTTTGTAATGAAGAACCCCTGTGTTAAACTGAAAGTGATCTGTGGTGATTGGCTGTTGTGACAAAGCACAAAATATTGTTCCAAACAGTTGTTCCTCCGAAACAAACGGATGTGTGATAGCAGCCTAAGAGTGCGGCCAAAGTATGCCACTATTTTTAAGCTGCAAGTTATATCGACTATTACAACTGCATCTTGTGTGAGGCAGATTATTATACACTGATGAAATAAATTTAGAGGATTTTCATACTTGATCTACGAGCCCCCGAACTACTGGACAGATTTTAATTGGTGTGAACATAGGTTGATATAATACAAACAAAATAAACATTTGTGTGTAATACTCATGGGAGTCTGAAGGTCTGAAACACTGCTTGCAGAAGACACAAAAGAAATGGGTTAATAGTGGGTATGGTCTCATCTTACAGCCATACAGGCCCTGCATACATGATGTCACACCAATCACAGAGCCTGTGTCAAAGATGTGGAGAGTGTGCGGCCATCCAACATGATGCTGGCCCAAACCATACACCGCCACCGCCTTAATTGTTGATTTTGCGGACATTGATCGGTAGGTAGCGGTTCCCTGGCTCTCTCCATATGAAAGTACAGCAAGAATCGGTGTTTAGGCTAAAACAGGACTTGTCGGTGAACAGAATGGCCGCCCATTGCTCCTTACTCCAATCGCTATGCTGCCTGCACCATGCTAATAGGACTCTCCTGTTCGTAGATGTGAGCGGGATGCACAGTCGGTCTTCTGACAAACAACCCTCTCTCATTCAGTCTTCTGTGTTTTATGTGTCTGACATGTGGTTCGGCACGTATAACCTCTTAGGTTTTGTGCCAGAATATGGACAAACCAACCAACCAACCAACCATTCAGTCTTTTAGAAACAGTCATCCTTGTTATACAGGTTCTTGTGGCTGCCTACAGGTCCCGGGAGAACCCTTCTGTTATGCATCGCTAAAATGGACAAATAGCGATCTTCTCTGGCTATTGTCACTCTTGGACGGCCTTGCACAGGCTTTCTCTCGATGGATCCAGTATCCTGGAACTGTTTCCATAGGGTACAAACGACGCTGGACATTAAACTTTCTGCATATTTGGACTTGCAATTGGCCCGCCTCTAGCCTCCCCACAATTCGCCACCTCATTCCATCATCTAAACGTTGGTGGTTACTCATTTTTACTGTTCTGATGTGAATTTGATTCAAGAATTCTGATTGCTGCAAGACAACACCAAGAAATTCGCTGAGGTGTGCTAGCGAATGCAATTCATCTTGCCCTCCACGTGCTTATAAAGCCTGTTTTTCGGCTGGCTCCGCCTACACACACGTGTAGGCTTCATGTTTGCCATACAAGATTTGCATTTTTATCTAGAAGCAGTGTTTTTTCCTTCAGTTCAGTGCATGCAAATTCTCTTAATTTATTTCACCAGTGTAGAATGTGTAAGTGTTTCCAACATTTCCCAGTACCTGAAAAAGAAACATCTACCAATTGGCAGCCATGTTTGCAAGATCAACACATATCTACAAACTGCTAAAAATGTTATTATCACGTTGCATCATTGGGTTTTTAAGTAATGACACATAATTTTCATAGAAATAATTGTATTTTTTTTTTTTTAAACATAACTGATGACATAGCTAATGTACAGTGCTCATCAAAATTAAAGGATAATGAGAAAACATATGTCGCTAAGTTAATGTTGCAATGATTGATGTTAAAGAAATGCAATTGAAGACAAAATTGCAGTTCCACATATACGTTAGCGGCAGATATATTCAAATTCGGTGATTGACATTGTGGAGGCTCAATGGATGCATGTTGGAATTCCATTGTGTAAGTAATGTGTGAAGTGAATGTGGTTTCCTAGAGGGATCAGTATTCAGTAATTAGGGCTGAAAGGCATCATTTAAGTGAAGGCCAAAAGTGGTAAATAATGAAAGGGCGGTTAAAAACAAATGGGGGTTGCCCAAGATTTTAAAAATCTCTCAAAGTGTCATATCGAAAGTTTGGAAGCCTCATTTTAAGTACTGGATCAGTTGATAGACAGCCTGGTTAAAGGTGACCAAAAGCAGCAAGTGCATTCAGAAGATTCTTTTGTATCATTACTAGCTCGAAAAAACCACAAACTTACTACAAGAGATTTGGTTTTAGTCATTCAAGCTGTTAAGGCCCGTCTGCACGTAGTGATTTTTTTCGGCCAACTTAGCTGGCCGACAATATCTGAGATAGCTTGCCTGTCCACACGGAATGATTTTCTCTTTAGTACAGGAATTCACTCAGCCAATCACATTGAAAGGAAGTGTTCCCGCCCTCTACAGACACACTGTCTACGATTTGTAAACAAAGCTTACGGTGTTGTCAAATAGCAGGGGTGTTTGTGCTCCGGGGATTTTGAACTTCGATACCTGGAAATTCCGGGGATCGTCATTCAAAAGGAAGTAGGAATAATAATGAATTATTATTTTGATCTGGGTAATTTTGTTTGCTTTGAAAGCAGAAAACACAAGGTCAGTGTGTGTGGTGAAAACTTTTCCTTTCTTTCTCCAAAGACAGTGATAATGCGTGAAAAGGGGGAAAAAACTTCTTTTTTGTTCTTTCCTTATTGCGAGTTATGACTCATTCCCCCGGTTCTCGGACATTCTCTTCTGGATTCTTTTCGGCAGGTAGGCGCTGCAGAAAGGACAGATGTGCGATCACGTGACTCTGGGTTCAAAGGTCTTATCTTTCCTGGCGTGGCGCCAATAAGTAGAGAAGGGGGATTTTTCACCGTATTAGCTATTTGTCATTGATCGCTTCTCAACTATTTTTTCGCCACTGTAAAATTTTCGTTTCATTTAGTAAAATATTTTTTTTAATTTTTGTACACAAGAGAATTTCACTATGAAATTTCTCGATATAAATAGTGATATTATACAATTAGAAGAAGGTGTCCATAATGCATTTAGGTGGAATTGGATTGAACGGAGAGATGGTAATGGGGATACCATCGGCACATGGTGCAAGAAAATAAATGTTGCTGGACAAGCATATTGTGTTTTTTGTAACTCATTGCTGAAGTATAATGGGGAAGGATTCAAGGCTTTCACAAATCATTCTAAAACTGTGACACACATAAAATATTCAAAGTGCATTGGACATTCAGTGACTTTAAGTAATTATGCTAATTCAAAAAATACTGATGACTCGGCCATTGGATATAGTGACAAGAAAAGCACGCCAAGAGGTATTAATAACTTCGTTTATCGCCAAGAATTCTCTTTCTTTCTTTCAATGTAGCTCCCAATTTAATTGAACTCTGCAAACAGTTGAGCCGCGATCAGATGGCACTAAACTCGTTGGAAATGTCCAGGACTACTGCATGTTATAAGATGAAATATGGACTCGCAAAAACTATTAAGGAAAATATCATTAAAACTTTAAAGGAGACTCCATTTTCTCTAAATTTGGATGAAAGTATACTGGCAATATTGGTGCAGTTTTATGACAACAATCAAAATGAAGTTGTAGTTCATCATTTTGCATCTCTAAAGATGGAATCTTGCAATTCAGAAGCTGTTTTTAAAGCAGTTGTTAATACTATTGAAGATAATAATATTCCATGGGCAAACTTAATTAGTGTATTAATGGACTCATGTAACACCATGCGTGGAAAAAAAAAGGGTGTCGAAACCAGACTACGATCAAACAAAGCACCCTACTTATTAGATATTGATGGTGACACATGTCACACAGCTAATAACTGTGCAAAAAAATTTGCTTCATGTTTTGATAGATACTTAGAAGATTTGTTTGATGACATCTATTTTGATATGAAAAGCTGTAGTAAAAGAAAAAATTTTTTCGAAATCTGTGAATCCCTTGCCATTAAAAAACTTAAGCCCTTGAAGAGACCAGACCATAGGTGGGTGTACATTTTATGTGTTTTAGAAAAAATCAAAGATCTGTGGGATGCTCTTATTGCATTTTATTTTCACTACTTTTATAAAACTGATAAAGGGGATTATTTTTCTTATGTTGAAACTGTATACAATAAAAGAAATATTTCTGCAGCTCAGAAAAAAATTGTTGAAGGGGTGTATTCTTGCTTGCATTCCCAACAACTCACAAAGGATGCTTTAGCTCGGAAAAAAGAATACTAAATGGGTCATTTGTTATGCAAAACAAAACTTTATTGCATGTGGCATTATATTCAGCAGTATTACCAGAGTTCAACACATATATTAAATTATTTGAAACAAAAAAACCAATGCTTCATTTAATACATTCCAGTATTTATAAATTGACTCTTTGTTTATGAAGCCATAAAATGTAGAGTGCACATCTTATAATGATTTATTAAAGGTTGATGTCACAAATCCAGAATTCAATCTACCTACCAAAGTAATATTTACTGGTGCAGAAGCTTCCACTCTCCTGAAGAAATTACCAAAAAATCATCCAATAGCAAAAGAATTCCAAATTTCTCTGATGAAAGCTTATACTAATACAGCACAGCATATGAAACAAATTATCCCTTAAAAATTCATATCTAATTAGTTTTACAGCATTAGATCCAGAGCTAAGAGGTAAAACTAGTACAAT